ATGATGTGTTACTCTAGTGATCAAAATGGCAGGTATGTGGAAGTGTGCTCTCCACCCTTCATGTGCCTTCCTCTGATGTATTGTTTTTATAGTTCCCTGATAATGTGAGAAGTCACGAAAGCGCTTGGAATTTCACTATTCTTTCACAGTGGTTGTTTTGCATATTCTGATATCACCTGTTTGCTGTGATCTTATTGCATATATATATATATATATATATATATATATATATATATATATATATATATATATATATATATATATATATATATATATATATTATATATATATATATATATATATATATATATATATGTATATATATATGCAAAACAACCACTCTGAAAGAATAGAGAAATTCCAAGCGCTTTCGTGACTACTCACATAATGTGAGTAGTCACGAATGCGCTTGGAATTTCTCTATTCTTTCAGAGTGGTTGTTTTGCATATTCTGAAATCACCTGTTTACTGTGATCTTATTGCATATATATATATATATATATATATATATATATATATATAATATATATATATATATATATATATATATATATATATATATATACATATATATATATATATATATATATATATATGGAAACCAAGAAGAGAAAGATATTATATTGTCCTCCTGACGTGAGGCTGCCAGGTATGTGGTGAGGTTCAGTGGTCAACCACTACCTACTTACCTGGGGATTATCACTGGTGAACACTTGGTGTTAACACATCCTCTTGACACTAACCTCCAGCGAGACCTTCACTACACAGTTAACCACTCTAATAGCTTACTCACGCCTTCTTAACTTGTTGTAGCAGCCTCTATGGAAGCAGGGAAGCGGACACAACCTCTCTCACTCGGGGACACTTGTGTTACCCTCCAGGAAAGACGCTTAACTATTTATGCAAATTCTCAGACATTTTAATGAAACTAATCAATTTTTTATTACGTTAAATTGAGTTAGTTTCTTAGATTAATTTTGACGCAAAATTACACAATGGTATATTAAAAATCTACATAGTATTTCTTCAGCCATTCCCTTTCGGAAAAAGGGGAGGGGTAGGAGGCTGCCCAAAATGTCAGATAATAGTCTAGATCTAACCTCCAAGATCGCAATTAGAATACATATATACCGTTATATATACACAGAGATGTATATTTCTCAGTGCATCTACGCTGAAAGTTTGCTTTAGTCTTTTTTTCCAGGAACTACGCTGTTATTGGTTGGTTATAAACATTGAGATGTGTGGTTGGGTGTGAAATTGCACTGCTAGCCTGTTCATTACCTTTGTAAATTGTGAGTTCATTACCTTTGTAAATTGTGAGTTCATTACCTTTGTAAATTGTGAGTTCATTACCTCTGTAACTTGCTCAGCTATCAAAACTTTGGAGTCCAGTCCCTGGACCAATTATGTACCTCTGTAATCTTTTGACTACCGCCCACAGGATGGGTATGGGGTGCATAATAAACATATTAAACTAACTAGCCTTGCTACCGGCAAGTCACAGTCGCTCCTCAAGTAGTGTCCCTGCGATCCCCGTTGGGGAGGGGAACCTCTACCTCACCGATTACCCACATCAAGATCTCAAGATGAGTTACTCCAACAGAGTCAAGATTAAACCTACTAGTGGTTTGATCAACGACTCCACCAAGCTTGCCCTTGCTGTAACTGTCAGGGGCTTAAACATCAAGGTTAACACGATCCTTTCCCTCCAAGAATCCTTCATCATCGTCTGTGAGGACGATGTGGAGGCCGAGAAACTACTGACTGGAACTGCCCTGACTACACTACATGATTAGTCTAACATGGACTTGTAAGTGGCACTCAGTGATTACCTTCTCATAAATCACGAGCAGTCGATAACACACCAATTACGTTGTCTCTAACAGAATATTAGGCAAGGAACGTTGTCTCTAACAGAATATTAGGCAAGGAACGTTGTCTCTAACAGAATATTAGGCAAGGAACGTTGTCTCTAACAGAATATTAGGCAAGGAACGTTGTCTCTAACAGAATACTAGGCAAGGAACGTTGTCTCTAACAGAATACTAGGCAAGGAACGTTGTCTCTAACAGAATACTAGGCAAGGAACGTTGTCTCTAACAGAATACTAGGCAAGGAACGTTGTCTCTAACAGAATACTAGGCAAGGAACGTTGTCTCTAACAGAATACTAGGCAAGGAACGTTGTCTCTAACAGAATACTAGGCAAGGAACGTTGTCTCTAACAGAATACTAGGCAAGGAATGTTGTCTCTAACAGAATACTAGGCAAGGAACGTTGTCTCTAACAGAATACTAGGCAAGGAACGTTGTCTCTAACAGAATACTAGGCAAGGAACGTTGTCTCTAACAGAATACTAGGCAAGGAACGTTGTCTCTAACAGAATACTAGGCAAGGAACGTTGTCTCTAACAGAATATTAGGCAAGGAACGTTGTCTCTAGCAGAATACTAGGCAAGGAACGTTGTCTCTAACAGAATACTAGGCAAGGAACGTTGTCTCTAACAGAATACTAGGCAAGGAATGTTGTCTCTAACAGAATACTAGGCAAGGAACGTTGTCTCTAACAAATATTAGGCAAGGAACCTTGTCTCTAACAGAGCACTAGACAAAGAACCTTGGCTCTAACAGAGCACTAGACAAAGAACCTTGACTCTAACAGAGCACTAGACAAAGAACCTTGTCTCTAACAGAGCACTAGGCAAAGAACCTTGTCTCTAGCAGAGCACTGGTGTCTAACAGAGCACTAGAGACCAAGAGCCTGGTCTCTAAAAGTCTGGATGAGTGAAGCATCAACGAGAAACTTGAAAGGTTAATTAAATCTAAATTAAATACCTAACATCTCTCTCCTAGCTGGGATACGTAGCTGTCTGCTGCTCTGTACGTAGCTGTCTGCTGCTCTGTACGTAGCTGTCTGCTGCTCTGTACGTAGCTGTCTGATGCTCTGTACGTAGCTGTCTGCTGCTCTGTACGTAGCTGTCTGCTGCTCTGTACGTAGCTGTCTGCTGCTCTGTACGTAGCTGTCTGCTGCTCTGTACGTAGCTGTCTGCTGCTCTGTACGTAGCTTCTGCTGCTCTGTACGTAGCTGTCTGCTGCTCTGTACGTAGCTGTCTGCTGCTCTGTACGTAGCTGTCTGCTGCTCTGTACGTAGCTGTCTGCTGCTCTGTACGTAGCTTTCTGCTGCTCTGTACGTAGCTGTCTGCTGCTCTGTACGTAGCTGTCTGCTGCTCTGTACGTTGCTGTCTGCTGCTCTGTACGTAGCTTCTGCTGCTCTGTACGTAGCTGTCTGCTGCTCTACGTAGCTGTCTGCTGCTCTGTTAATTGCTGTCTGCTGCTCTGTACGTTCTGTCTGTTGCTCTGTACAACTGTTGATCATACACCTTTCAGTGTATAAGCAACAGTTGTATGCTCAACAGAATATATACAAAATGATTTATCCTTAATGATCCTAGTGTAGTCGATAGGCTTGAAACCCATTAACCGCCCAGATGTCAACAGTATACGTGGACCAGGATGTATGGATTATAGTATTTTTGATTGCTTGTGAAAAGATTATATGCAGTGTTAATGATCTTTGTGTAGTCGATAAGCTTGAAACCAAATTTATCAAACAGCAGACGTGGCTGGTGCGCTCAGGGCTCACACTTTTTGATATGTCGTAATTTCATTAATGATAAAAAAAATTAGATTTTAGCATTGAAGAAAACAAATTATAGAATCGAGATTAGTGAGAATACTGAATAAATTAATTAAAATAAGTAAGAATTTAATAAAAACATTTGAAAGATGCTCACCTAGGGAGTCCGGGGAAGCAGTAGCGCGAGTCAAAATGGAGAGTGAATACGTGATTTATCTATATCGATCAAATTCTCGATCATCGGGTTTTGGCGAGACATTTATCCTATTGGAACAGAGAACCAGTGTCTCCAACAACACCAATATTAGAAGCATATTATCTGAGATGACAAAATAACCACCTACGACAGCAGGTTTTCCCTCAGTCATGGCAGATGACGCACCTCTATGAAATAAGGGAACGGACGGGATCGAACCTACGGCAGGTGAGTCCTAAAACTCACGGGCCAGTGCGTTAACCCCTCGACCACATGCCTCTAATACAATTCATCCACCTAAGAATATTTATATACCATAGGGAGGTTAGCATAGGTTCCACTGTGACCACAAATGCTGTGTCCTACATAAACGGGTGACGTGGTAATTAATATGGTTAAAAACTTGTCTACGAAAGGATTATTCAGGCTTCTATAACATGTAGAGTTAGAATGCAAGAGAGTAATTCAATATTCAAAAATTTGTCTTTGCTTGCCATACTAGCCGGGCTGTGGTTCGCACGGCGGTTTGCGTGCGGCCAGCAGTAACAGCCTGGTTGATCAAGCCGTGATCCACCATGAGGCCTGGTCACAGACCGGGCCGCGGGGTCGTTGACCCCCGGAACCCTCTCCAGGTATACATTAATCCACGTAATCCCCGTCCCTCAGTTTGCCTGATACGGTTTCAGCATTTTCCTGAAACCATTTTTACCTAAAATACGTAAATTATCATATATGCGGATTTTAACTAAAAATTGAGGTTTGTCAGAAAAATGTGTGAAACCGCACGGAAATGTCGAAATGTACAATAACTCTTACATATCTACTTCAACAAGAAGAAAAACTGCAGTAGGCCTTCTGGCCCATGCTAGGCCGGTGTAAAACTGCAGTAGGCCTTCTGGCCCATGCTAGGCCGGTGTAAAACTGCAGTAGGCCTTCTGGCCCATGCTAGGCCGATGTAAAACTGCAGTACGCCTTCTGGCCCATGCTAGGCCGGTGTAAAACACTAGTAGGCCTTCTGGCCCATGCTAGGCCGATGTAAAACTGCAGTAGGCATTGTGGCCCATGCTAGGCCGATGTAAAACTGCAGTAGGCCTTGTGGCCCATGCTAGGCCGATGTAAAACTGCAGTAGGCCTTCTGGCCTATGCTTGGCCGGTGTAAAACAATGCAGCCCCAGGAGGACTCGAACCTCCGACCTCCAGTAAGTTAGGCGAGAGAACTGGCGCTCTACCAACTGAGCCATGGGACAATCTTACAAGTGACGACGGTATATTGATCTAAATACACCACTTACTGAGTAGAGGAATAAATACATGTGAATGACAGACTTACCTGGGTGTAACTCTTCTAGTAAGGTACAGTGTATGGCCCCTCACGGGTTTAGCGCTTGATTAAAATTATTATTAGTAGTATTATTATCGTTATTATTATAGGTATCTTCACACCGGTGAGGGGGGTTTTAATCCAGGGATGGACCTCTCCTCCCTTTCCTTGGATCGAATCTGGTTGCCTGACATTCTCTCGGGTGCTGTATGACCCCCCAACCCTTCACAAGAGTTCCTTGATGCTGGTGAAGGGCTCTTGATACAAGAAGACTTAGTAACCCTTGGCCATGATCAGCTGTGATTGCCTCCTAGTCCCCAGTCGTTTTAAGACTCCTGTGGGTCGGGCGCTTTCCCATAAATATAATTTATGAATCCTATGGGTTTAGCTCTAACCCTCCCTATAAAAAAAAACTATATAAGCTGATGTCGAGATTAATGTGGTGCTCTTATCTTGGAGAAAATACCACTTAAGTATAATAATCTTTATTTTAACAAGTACGTGATACTATTGCAAACCTATCATCATCGACATACTATATAAAGCCCCTGGTTATGCACAGCATTTCCGGCAACTTAGATTAATTTTGTCCCCCCAGGATGTGACCCACAACAGTCGGCTAGCACCCATGTACCTACTTACTGCTAGGTGAACAGGGGCAACAAGTGGAAGAAAGTGTGGGGTACCAAGCATGGGTCCCTGACCCCTCAGGAAACTGAACGCGCTGTCAACCAAGCCTGAACACCCGTAAGGGGTAAGTGGCAGTGTTAAATGAAAACATTCGTACACTCTTAGTACATCAGTGATGCCATACATGAGTGACGTCAGGATATACAGTGTCTTTGAAAATGGCGGTAAGTTTATTCGTCAGAAACAAGACAGGTGTGTCACATTCTCGCACCAAGAATAATAAACGGAAGCTATTTCGCGTTTCCCATTTTTTCCTCGCCCACCTCGTTGGTAGATACATCACAGCGTTTTTCCATTTTCCTTATTTTTAAAGCATACATTTACATACTGAGGCATACACCTCCTTGTGCATAGCCTTCCAAATGTAATACTTCCCTTATAAATCCAGTTAAAAAAAAAAAAGAACCATGCAGTCAAAATGGCAAAAATTCTCAGAACTACAGTAATTGTAAATGTTACGGTGGTTGTCGTGAACGTGTTAAAGATACGATAGATGTATGATTTGTATGTGTGAATTCTGTTAAATAATATTGATATATTTTGAAGAGTTGTGGCGAGTTACCGCGGCGAGTAACATACACACTCGCAATATACAAGTTACCCGCAAAATACTCACTGAGGTGAGAGGTGGTTAGTGTTAGACTTCCTAAGGCTGAGGGAGTGAGGTCGTCAGGCTGGTTGGCTGTCAGGCAGAAAAAACAAAGAGGCTGGGATGCAGGTAGGTAAGCTAGAAGGAAGATAGGCAAGCAAAGCACAAACTAACAAGCAGGAAGCAAACACTAGTGGACAGGAGGTAGGAGGCAAACTCTAGCAGGCAGGCAGGCAGGTAGGCAGCAAGTTAGGCATTCCTTTAAGGTTTTCAAAATACCGAAGTTTTGTCTGTGACAAGCCACTGCCTACAAGAGATTTCAGACTAATGGAGATTTCTTTATAACTTTAATGCTTAAAATTCAGTATTAAAGAACAAATCAAGAGTTTTATGATATTTTAAAGTCTACAGAGTCATGTTGTGATATGATAGTGAAGAGGTACGAGACGAGGTCTTATGCTTTCTATGATAGTGAAGAGGTACGAGGTCTTATGCTTTCTATGATAGTGAAGAGGTACGAGGTCTTATGCTTTCTGTGATAGTGAAGAGGTACGAGGTCTTATGCTTTCTGTGATAGTGAAGAGGTACGAGGTCTTATGCTTTCTGTGATGGTGAAGAGGTACGAGGTCTTATGGTTTCTGTGATGGTGAAGAGGTACGAGGTCTTATGCTTTCTGTGATAGTGTAGAAGGTATGAGGTCTTAATTAAGCTTCCAAGTTCCGATCCTGCTGCTCCGTCCTATCTGCTCAATCGTTGATCTTAGTATAAACTTGCCTTTTTGGTATATGGCAGGAGTAAAAAATTCTCCTGACGAGGATTTGTCTCGTAATCCTCTCAGTAGTGTTTGGCTAAGTTACCGAACTCTACCGAAATAAAGAATAATCAACGGCGTTTAAAGCCTATCGACCACATGTGTCATTACAGCGTCTCCTTTTCACAATTAGTTAAGAATAATCTATGAAACTTATTGTGTATGCGCAGGATATATACATCTCTCGGTGTATATATTCCGTGTCGATATAATATTCGCCAGGACAGTTATAACTATGTTTCAATCTTTCGATGACTCGTTATTTAGTTAAATATCACCACAAAATATATGATGGTACGAGACTGCTGACCACATATAAAAACTCTACAGTATTTCTCTGTATTATTGTGAACAGGTTAGATAGAATGTCTCATTTGTTTTAAATGTGCGAATTTTCTTAGTTAATATTGATATTTATTAGAGGCTATGGGAATGAGATAGTGAGGAAATACCCTTCTCCCCTAGTGAGAGAGAGAGAGAGCTCAGCTTGCTTACAAGTTACACACACAGGTGACAAGCAGTTAGTGTTGAAGTGTTTTGAGGGAATAGGGTTTAGAGGTTGGTTGGTTGGGGTAGTGGTAGGTGTGGTTGGTCGGTGTGGGGGTAGTAGGTGTGGTTGGTAGATGGGGTGGTAGGTGTGGCTGGTCAGTGTTGGGGTGGTAGGTGTGGCTGGTCGGTGTTGGGGTAGTAGGTGTGGTTGGTAGATGGGGTGGTAGGTGTTGGCTGGTCAGTGTTGGGGTGGTAGGTGTGGTTGGTCGACGTTGGGGGTGGTAGGTGTGGCTGGTCGGTGTTGGGGTGGTAGGTGTGATTGGTAGATGTTGGGATGGTAGGTGTGGCTGGTCGGTGTTGGGGTGGTAGGTGTGGCTGGTCGGTGTTGTTGTGGTAGGTATGGCTGGTCGGTGTTGGGGTGGTAGGTGTGGTTGATCGATGTGGGGGTGGTAGGTTTGTGGTTGGTAGATGTGGGGATGGTAGGTGTGGTTGGTAGATGTGAGGGTGGTAGGTGTGGTTGGTAAATGTGGGGGTAGTTTGGTGTGGGGTTGGTAGGTGTGGTTGGTAGATGTAGGGGGTGGTAGGTTGTGGTTGGTAGATGTGGGGTTGGTAGTGTGGTTGGTAGATGTGGGAGTGGTTGGTGTGGGGGTGGTAGGTGTGGTTGGTAGGTGTGGGGGTGGTAGGTGTGGTTGGTAGATGTGGGGTGGTAGGTGTGGTTGGTAGATGTGGGGGTGGTAGGTGTAGTTAGTAGATATGGGGGTGGTAGTGTGGTTGGTAGATGTGGGGGTGGTAGGTGTGGTTGGTAGATGTGGGGGGTGGTAGGTGTGAGGGTGGTAGGTGTGGCTGGTAGATGTGGGGGTAGTTGGTGTGGGGTTGGTAGATGTGGGGTGGTAGGTGTGGTTGGTAGATGTGGGGGTGGTAGGTGTGGGTAGATATGGGGGTGGTAGGTGTGGTTGGCAGATGTGGGGTTGGTAGGTGTGGTTGGTAGATGTGGGGGTGGTATGTGTGGTTGGTAGATGTGGGGGTGGCTGGTGTGGGGGTGGTAGGTGTGGTTGGTAGATGTGGGGGTGGTAGGTGTGGTTGGTAGGTGTGGGGGTGGTAGGTGTGGTTAGTAGATATGGGGGTGGTAGGTGTGGTTGGTAGATGTGGGGGTGGTAGGTGTGGTTGGTAGATGTGGGGGTGGTAGGTGTGGTTGGTAGATATGGGGGGTGGTAGGTGTGGTTGGTAGATGTGGGGGTGGTAGTGTGGTTGGTAGGTGTGGTTGGTAGGTGTGGGGGTGGTAGGTGTGGTTAGTAGATATGGGGGGGGTTTAGGTGTGGTTGGTAGATGTGGGGGGTGGTAGGTGTGGTTGGTAGATGTGGGGGTGGTAGGTGTGGTTAGTAGATATGGGGTGGTAGGTGTGGTTGGTAGATGTGGGGGTGGTAGGTATGGTTGGTTTAGATGTGAGGGTGGTAGGTGTGGTTGGTAGATGTGGGGGTGGTAGGTGTGGTTGGTAGATGTGGGGGTGGTAGGTGTGGTTGGTAGATGTGGGGGTGGTAGGTGTGGTTGGTAGATGTGGGGGTGGTAGGTGTGGTTGGTAGTTTGTGGGGGTGGTAGGTGTGGTTGGTAGATGTGGGGGTGGTAGGTGTGGTTGGTAGATGTGGGGGTGGTTAGTGCACGAAAGAATAAGTAGAGGGCCATGGTGCTACGCTAGACATTTTTATCTTAGGTTTTCTAGACTTTTAACTGGTTCACTGGAAATGTTTAAATTCAATGAATTGTATAAGTGTAGTGTAAGTGAACTGTGTAAGTGTAGTGGGTTAGTGATCATTGTAATGTTTAAGTGAACTGTGTAAAAATTATTCCAATTCTAGCAAAAGGGAGACTAGTAATTTGTCATCGTACAGATTTTTTTTTTTCATTCGTTTCACAGTTTCAAAATTTTATATTTCTTTGATGTTGTTTTATCTTTGGTAAAGAATTTCTTTATTGGGAGGATCAGTCGTATTATTATTCGTTATAATACTGACTAAGAAAAAACGGCGCGTTGAATTTCACTAGATAATTTTAATAGTGCTGTTAACATATGTGTACTCAATGTTATTTTTTTCTTTTAACTGAATTTTGAATTCAATTAATTCGTTGCCTAATGGATATCAGATATCGTGCGTAGTAGTTAATTTCTAGCAGTTTTTTCGACTGATGAATGCCGGTAGCCATGATTTTTTTTTAAATATTGCCACCGAAGTGGCTAGTTTATTGTGCACTCCATTTCTGTCCAATTGATGGTAGCAGAAGCGTATATAAATACACAAAAAAATCTAGGAACTAGGCCCCAAAATGCTTAACCGTAGCCTAAACACTGAGAAATGGCGAAAGGGAGAGAGTGATGGCTTTGCCTGTTCGTTTGTCTGCCCGCTGCAGCATCCTTGTCCTTTTACTGGGCAATTGTGTCTCTCAGCACCATTGTCCTGACCTTTTCACGGCTGGCTTGGGCAGCTAACATGAGGCAAGGATAAACATTTGTGCCCCAACAAAGCCTAGCTGGGCCCCCCCATTGCTTCTACCGAGATTATCCTAGTCTTCCGGAGGCCACACCCACCAGCATCCTTTTGTCACCCCAGCCAATCGGAAACCAGGAAGGTGTTGACAGCGATGCTGATTAGTTGAGGAGGAAGCTAGCTCCGCCCACTGGTCTGTGGTTTTGCCAATCAATTCAGCGGATCTGGCACCGTGGGCGGGGTTTGTAAGGGAGATGAGGAGAGGGTGTCCAGCATCACTTGATATGGTACAAGCTCATTTTATATACTCGTTGAGAGGAGGACATGTGACGCGGGAGTGACGAAAAGTGACAAGCTTGTTGTTACAGTTGAGTGACGCCCTCACACACGCCAGGACCTGTTAATGAGTGACGCCCTCACATACACCTGGTCCTGTTGATGAGTTAGCTCCTCACGCACACACGCCAGATCCTCTTGATGAGTTACGTCCTCACACCAGATCTTTTTGAGTTACGTCCTCACACACCAGCTCCTGTTGCTGAGTTACATCTACACAGGCTAGAACCTATTACCGAGTGGTCTTTCCACACACGAATCAAGACCTATTAACTGTGAGACGTCCTCACACATACCAGGACCTGTTGATGAGTGATGTCCTCAAGGATCTGTTGATGATTGACGCCCTCTTACACCAAGATCTGTTGATGGTGCCAGTAATTCAACCTCTGAATCCACTCTTGAAACTAGTTCTAAAGTGCCCCATTACCGCTGGTAGTGTATGCAGCCGCAACATTTTTAGTGATTTTTCCGTGAATGTGAGCGTGTGCGCGCGCGTGCGCAGCAGTATATGATGGATACATAGTATTGTAATGTAGATGTGTTCTTGAGCCTGTGAGTGTTTGACAGAGAATGAAGACCTGCCCGGACGCTGGCCGCCCACCCTCTGTAGAATCCCTGTGCAGCCTTTCCATACCATCGCCTGGCGTACTAGTACCAGCAGCGCCAGGTATACCAGTGCCAACAGCGACACCAACAGCCTCCTCCAGTATGGCCAGAGACGCAACGGAGAGTGCTAGTACCAACGCACCTCCTTCATCATCTGCGTCTGCTCCTGAAGCTTCTCTTCTACAGAGCAAAGGCAGCCTTCAGTTCAGCCCCGAGCAGATAGATTGCGTGTGTGAGACCCTCCTACAGGCTGGTGACATGGAACGCCTCGGCAGATTCCTCTCCATCCTGCCACTCCACACGGAGGTCTCACGCACCTCCGAGGTCATCCTCAGGGCCAAAGCTGCCGTGGCCTTCCACAGAGGCACCTTCAAAGACGTCTACACTATCCTAGAAACCAACACCTTCACTGCCAAGTACCATACGGAGATGCAGAGCATGTGGTACAGAGCGCACTACAAAGAGGCGGAGAAGATCAGACAGCGCCCACTAGGTAAGTATACCCTTCTAATTAGATAAAGTTGGGTTAAGTAGAGTTGTCGAATAGAGTTTTCAATGTAATAATTCTCTTTTGGTGACTTTCCTAATATCCATTCTAAATTAATTTTCGGACAGAATAAGAGTTTGCCGTTGACGCGGCTAGTTTGTGCACCCCATATCCATCCTGTGGACGGTAGTGGCTACTCTGTGCACCCCATATCCGTCCTGTGGACAGTAGTGGCTAGTTTGTGCACCCCATATCCATCTTGCGGACGGTAGTGGCTAGTTTGTGCATCCTATATCCATTTTGTGGACGGTAGTGGCTAATTTATTATGCGCCACATATCCATCCAGTGGACTGTGGTGGCTGGTTTATTGTGTACCTCATATCCATCCTGTATACAGAAGTGGCTAGTTTGTGTACCCAAAAACAATTCTGGAGACGGTAGTGATTATGTATTGTGCAAGAGCGTATATATATATATATATATATATATATATATATATATATATATATTATATATATATTATAATATATATATATTATTTTATAACACACGGCCGATTCCCACAGGCAGGGTGGCCCGAAAAAGAAAAACTTTCACCATCATTCGCTCCATCACTGTCTTGCCAGAAGGGTGCTGTACACTACAGTTTTTAAACTGCAACATTAACACCCCTCCTTCAGAGTGCAGGCACTGTACTTCCCATCTCCAGGACTCAAGTCCGGCCTGCCGGTTTCCCTGAATCCCTTCATAAATGTTACTTTGCTCACACTCCAACAGCACATCAAGTATTAAAAACCATTTGTCTCCATTCACTCCTATCAATATATATATTTATATATATTTATGCACACACACACACACACAAAACCGAAGGAACTAGGCCCCAAAACAGTTAAAAAGAGTAAATCTAAACTTACATCTACAATTGTCTTATTTGTTGTAAGCGAATTTAGGATATTTGCTTAATATGTCTAGTATCTTATTTTCATTAATAAGATACCTTGACATATTACATAGGTTATTATCCTATCTTTATATTCTCAATAAATAACCAATTTAGCACATAATGTTCAAGAAAGTGGTTGGCCACATACTCTGTATTTGGTTTGATCCTGTGTGTATCTGTCAAACTGCCAGAGGTACTTGTAAACAACCCTGTTTGTTCACATTGCAAGTTGCTCCATTGATGTACTGTTTTATAAGAAAGGTGACTATCCTAAAATGAGTGGGTGAGTGTGAGCTAAACCTGACTAGAATGGGCCAATAGGCCTCTTGCAGTGTTCTTACATACTTATGGTCTTAAAAATATAATTAGGAAAGAAATTTATATTTTCATATATAATTTTTACAATGGTCTTTAGGGAACACAAATATGGGCATACATATATATAGTAGATTATGAAGATTTATCTGCGATAACCCAATAAAATAGGATAACCTGGTAACCTTAGATAACGCAGTAACCTAGGATAACAGTTACTTGGATGACAACCTAGAAATACCACAGTAACCTCAGAAACTCAAGATTTAACCTATGATAAAACTATATGCTAATGTAATATAATAATATATATAATCTTGGATAAAACCCTAGACTAACACAATAACCCAAGATTTATCCCAATAAAACCAAAGAAAGTTATTTATTTTCATTGATGTCTAAGTAACTGGACCTGGCATCCCCTGCCTTGGATCTATCCTAATTACCTCCCGTTTCCCAACTACTGTGAAATATTTAATAATAATTGTTATTATTATTATGTACGACTCTTACGGTGTAGCGATTTGTTATTAAAGTATATCTAGTAGAGCACAAGACCTATTTGTTCGGCTAAACTGCCTCCCTAAGTTACCGAGTTGACCACCCAAGATTCCTTGCTAATTGTTACATAACCGCATTACCGGGCCTACAGAGGACCACACTACCTGGACACAGGGAGAGCCACACTACCCGGACAGAGCCACACTACCTGGCCACAGCCACACTACCTGGCCACGGAGAGCCACGCTACCTGGCCACAGAGGACCAAACTACCTGGCCACAGAGAGCCACACTACCTGGCCACAGGACCACACTACCTGGCCACAGAGAGCCACACTACCTGGTCACAGAGAGCCACACAACCTGGCCACAGAGAGCCACACAACCTGGCCACAGAGAGCCACACTACCTGGCCACAGCCACACTACCTGGCCACGGAGAGCCATGCTACCTGGCCACAGAGGACCACACTACCTGGCCACAGAGAGAGCCACACTACCTGGCCACAGGACCACACTACCTGGCCACAGGACCACACTACCTGGTCACAGAGAGCCACAACACGGTTGCTACTATCAGAGTGTATAACGTTTGACAAGATTCCATTTCCTACTCAAAAAAAAGGGAGGATAGTACTTTCCTGGATGGGAAGTGATTGCGGACTTACTACTTACAAATTCACTTATGTCGCAGATTTAAACCAGAATGGTGATGTGCAGACTACACGTTGCCTTAATTACCCTAGAACCCGATAAACTATTTTGCTAATAGATTTATCATTACCCTCATAACTGACCAATTTACTCTGGTAAACTATTCCATCAACCGCCCCTCCCTTGTAATACGACCGTATGCATCCCTAACTAGCGAATGTCAGCAGTAGTTCAACGTCATCGAGGCTTCAAACAAGCTTGTCAGCCAGTGTTAATCTCCTTCGCTCTCCCCTCCATCCCCTTTCCTCCCTCCTCCCTCGGGGAGTATTGCTTACACTAATGGTTTGATCGTTACAGTCAGCTACTGGCCGCTAACAGGATACAATCCCGCACGAGTCTTTAACAAACCCAGACTGACGTATATCATAGGGCTTTTTAATAACATCGCAACACATTTGTATTTTTGAAGTATCGTTATTATTATTATTATTATTATTATTTATTATTATCGTTATTATTATAGTCTCCTAGTTTTATTCATAATGACATTTGTGTCAATTTGCATGGGATTATCTTTGAATTTCAACCCCTCAAGGAAGGTTCCTTGATGTTGGTGAGGGGCTCTTGATTTAGGGAATTAGATCTGTGCTCCAGTTCCCCGAATTAAGCCTGAATGCCTTCCACATCCCCCCCCAGGCGCTATATAATCCTCCGGGTTTAGCGCTTCCCCCTTGACTATAATAATAATAATAATTTGAATTTCAAAGTAATCGATGCTTTGAGTCTTGGATTGGTGATAAGGTGTCAAGAATTGCTAATTGTGCTGATGGTAGTGTTAATTAGGGTGTTTGGAATTAATGATAATGCTTCTTAGGACTGATTTAGGGCAGACTTGGGGTTTCGTTATTACATGATAAATAAATTTTACCCTCAGGGAAATCATGTGAAAATTCTTAGATATTTTAGAGAAATTTAATTGTTTTATATTACGTCAATTTTAGGAAAGTTAGGTTTTGTTTATTTGTTAATTTTGATGAATAGTGAAGAATGTATGTGAAACTGGCGCAATATTTTATCTACAATAATGTTCTGAGGTTAGTGAATATAAGTAGTGTTTAAGATTTACTTTTCATTCTATATATTCGTGACAAAAATTAAAGATCAGTCCTGCCAGAGTTTTAAACGTTTATCAGGTTTCTGTTTTAAAGTCTTGTGACAGGAGGTTATTATAAACACAAGCCAGACCGAAACATCACGAGTTTCATCTATTTAGGAGGGTAGTACTTGTGAAGATGATTGCTGTCTACCAGCCTAGAGGACAACATTTCGCTCGAGATTTAATAACGGCTCAAGACGAACCGAAACGTCTGGTTTCAGTTTGAGAGATAGAATGTATCCCACGCTGCCTACCCTTCTGGTGGAGAACACAAGCCACGACGATCGAAGTGAGTTGCCTTGAAAGTAGGGTAGTTAGGCAAGTGTAATCACCCTACTAACCACCCCACGTTAACTACCGGGTGAACCCACTATACAATAGGTGGATTACCACAGAACCTATTATTGAATGCGGGGACAAGGAATAGGGAATAAAACGAGGGAGAGTGAGAAACAAGAGGAGAGGAATTGGACACGGAAAAAAAAGAGAGAGAGAATAAAAATGTGGTCGAGAACTGTGGTGCACATCCAGCCATAGCTTTCAACTATACGTTGTTGAATATTAAATTATATTCTTAGATAATGCCTTAGTGAGGCTTTGATATATGCTGAGGTATATATTAAGATATATTTACACCTTCAAGATTATATTTACACCTACCAGAGTTTGTTTACACTCAGACTTATTTATACAGTATATTTTGCACCTCCTCCTAGACTTTGTTTACACATAATAATATTATCAGTAATAATAATGAAAAGTTATTATAATAATAGAAATCGTTATAATAATAATGAAAAGTTGTAATAGGAAAAGTTAAAGTAATAATAAGACAAATTTATAGTAATAGATAAACTTTAATAATAATAATGAGTTTATCCCGGCCTTTGGTAAAACGACCTTTGTTTTATATATGTATGCAAGATCTGTATATATATATATATATATATATATAATATATATATATATATATATATATATATTATATATATATATATATATATATATATATATATATATATATAACATATATATATATATACACACACACGAATCTAACCTAAATTAACATCTGAATCTAATCTAAATTAACACAGCTTTACCTAACTTTGCTAAAATTTACGTAATATAAAATATCTTAGTTTACCTCACCTACCTAAATTATGAACGATTATATTTCACTTTTGTGTTGGAGAACTTTTCATATTACAACCTCCCCCCCCCCCCAAAAAAAAAAAAAAAAAAAATATGGTTAATGCTTCTCATATTAGTCACTTTTTCAATCGTGACTAATATAGAAAAAGGTTTTAAGGCGGCTGATGTGCAATTACGAATTATCGACAATTTTATCTTTCAAATTTTATTTTGGCTACGATCTGTTTATTATATTCCGCCGTTTCCAATGATTTTGGGTGCCTTAAAGTAATTAAATTA